AAGGGAAATGGAATCCTAATGCAAAAGTTCATTTTGACAAAAGGCTTCAGAAAAGTACCTCGAAAATGGTTTTTTACAGCAATTCAATGTGCGCAAGATGCGTTGGAAATGTTTTGTTGTGTCCATGAGAAGGCTTCGAAAAGAACTAGGGAGAAGGTAGTTTTGTGACATATCAAGGACATCTCGATAATTGCCGCCTGCGGCGGACATTGGCTGTTCTATAATAGTTTTATTCATTTGTGAACAGAACATCGCAGGTTCAATGTCTCGAAATCTCGTACATTTAACATCTCTGAGATGTTTTTGTGCTCGCTGGGGTTGTTTGAGGGACGCGACCAGAAACGATTATATTCGATTATGTCGATATAATCGCAGTTATTATAATCATGACCATTGTTTTTATACTCTTTTAACAACACCTCAATCAACGCCTCTTTCTTCAAATTCACGATGATGTGACAGAAATATAGTTTCGTGTGAGAAAGAATTGCTTTGATTGGTTGGGATTCTGAATTTTGAATCAGAAAATATCATGTCCGCATATTGAAACATGAAACTTATTGCCTAGTTCATAAATTCGTATTCTGTCGTTCGGCACAAGGACCTATGTGTTCATTTTATAATACTAATATTTTGCATTATAAAATTTAACCCTAATAATATAAAATTTCAATTATTGTGTCTCAGCCTTTAGGCATACAAATCTTTGAATCAGATTTTCATGCAATATTGAATAGGTATTGGAATATCTTGAGGTAAAAAAAATAACACAAAGGTATGTCCTGTATTGAATATTTTATATAAATGTACAAAACATGATTCGATTTGTATTAAGTATTTTATTCCATCCAAATGAGTATCGTTTTACTGCATCTGAAACAAACGAACATTTAGTAAGTACAACTACGAAAAAGCCACAATGCTCAAAGTGGAATGAAATGTTGAATAAATACAAGAAGCTCAAAATCATTTCCAAACAATGCTCATAAAATGAAAAACAATGGAAGATTTCGGGAGAAAAACAACTACTTTCCTGGGTAATGCCATCCTCCCAAAATCTATGCATCGACTCGTATATACGAATACTGATACAAGTAATCCTTTCCTGAATGCCAATTGATTTAGATTTAGCCAGGCCACGCTAGACACCTATAGACCAGTTTCGAGCTCTCTGACTCTCATCAATGCAGGGCAGTCTCCAGCCAGCAGTCCGAAGGCCGCCAACTAAGCGTAGCCTAGCCAAACAAAATCAAGTCGGCATTATATTCCCTCAGAGGCGTCCCCCATAGACAATATGAAAGCAACGCCATCTGGGTAGAAAAAAAAGAAATGAACACTCCAAAACCACAAAACCATGATTGCCATACGGGAGTGACTGGTTGCCCGACTGGCGTAATGTCAACTACGAAGTGATTTCTTAAAGGGAAACTTTTCGTGCACAAAAAGAAATGTTGCTGCTGCACTTCTGCGGAACTCACCATGAATCATAGGCATGTGAACAAGTTCATCATTTTTGTGAACGTGCTACATCTCAAACCAATGCGAGAAAGATGACCTGATGACTATCGCAAGACAAGCAAAAGAGGAACAGTTCGGTAATCATCTGATAGCGATTTTTGCGGCCAGGACCGTCATGAAATTCCTTCAAAATGTGAGAAATGTTCAGTGGATAATATATCCCTTTTATCGAGGCAATATCAGATGGATCTGAATATTTCAACAAATTATACATTTTGTTATTTTATATTCAACAAATTTCGACCAAGCAGCTATGACCCTTCAGAGCGCGCTGAATTATCTTCTGTAGTACTTCCTTAGATCCAAGATCTCATTGAATCGTGCAAAAAGACAATGGACTTATATCACGGAAGAATTTCATTTCATAATTCGATAGAACCACCGCAAACCGTTTCTTGCTGTGAGCTCCCTACGTTTTATAAAAAAATATTGAAATCCCCGATTTTTCGGACCTCTGAAAACGGGGCGATGATGTGACGTCAAAACCCTAATACTGAAACAAGACTATTCCAGACAGAGATGAATGATACATGATGATTTCTGACAGAGTGAATTAGCGCGAGATCACAGTTGAAAGAATTAATATATCAGTTGCCCCGTCTCCGTCGGGCGTTTGGTATTTTCTTTCAACTATGGCAAGATGAAAATTCTACGTCATGAGAGGATCCGTTTTCAGAAGGTACTATTATTTATGTCCAAAAATGAAACATTCTAGTTAATTTTTCGATCGAATTATGTCGTCAATCATTATTTATGTATAAAAGGATCATTATAAACATGGTTAGAGTTAAAAGTTCTACTGAGGTGTACTGGGCCATTGGTTGCACTCAGAAGGGAGGTGAGGCTCAACTCGGCCCAGCACATTGAGGATTGAACAGCAAGTTCCAAAAACCATGTTCATCTATGCAAAAACCATGCAAACGAGCCATTGTAGCCCTGTATCAATTTCTAGTGAAGTAAATGGGTTTGAGACAAAAATTGATTATTTATATCATGGCTATCAGGCCAATTTCACTGTACAAACATTGCTAGACACTACATTTTTTGTATTTTGATAGGAGTATCATTTTTAGGTAATTTTCTTCTCTCTATCAGATGCTCTCTGTTTTTGCACCAAAAAGAATACAAGGAAAAATGTTGTCTTCAAAAAATCATGACCCACCCTCTGAAACATGCAGGAAATTTCAATTTGGTGACTTCTACCGTTTAGAAGTTATGCGCGCGAGACCAAGAGTCCAGTCTTGGTCTTGTCTTGGTTTTGATACAAGACCATCAAGACCTCTTGTATTGGTCTTGAAACAAGACCATCAAGACCAAGACTTGATGAATCTTCCTAAGACCAAGAGCAATGCTCTCTCCCAAGAGTCTTGGTCTTGGTTTTGAAAGAGACATAATGAACTTAAATCTACTCGATATCAAGAAAAATCTGATGGACAATGTAACGGCATTTTATTTCAGTAGTGTATTTGTCATATGGTAGGTTTTCTATTTTAGTTCACTCAAAATCAGAAATACATTTTTGAAATTCAGTATTGCAGTTTAAAAGTTTACAACAAATAGTTGTATATTGTGAGGTCACAGTGTTTCATACCTAGTCCTATTCAAGATCACAACAAATTTCATACAAAAGTTATTTGTATACATTTGAATACGAAATACCTTATATATGCATATGAACTGTTGGATATTTGAATTGGATGATTGAAATTTCTAGACGCATTCAATCCAAGACCAAGACTATAAAGACCAAGACCAAGACTCAATTTGGGCCATTATAGTTCATTCATCAAAGTATACTTATTTGTCAATGCACCTCCAGAAAGCTGAGTACACATTTTTGACTCACCCTGTATACGCTCGATAAGTATAAAAACTGTATAGTAAACCAAAAATCGTCACATTATCACGCCACGAAATGTGTGAATGTAACATTATACCCTATCCCTTCTGACGTTCATCTTATTTATTATTCCTACTATACTCACCATTTCATTCTCTGGAAATATAGACCCTTCGTTCATCACAAAGCTCGCCGCCCCATATCTACGGATAGATTAAACGTGGTGGAGTTACTTGTCTGTTCTTCGACGGCAAGATGATTTGTTTTGTTCTTTCAAAATTCTTGACAGCCCGAGAATTGTCTCCATACAATCGCAGTGCTACGTACTCAACTGTCAATTGGTGATTGGGCTTTGGATTTGAATGCCTACATGGGCCTCACTCGAATTGATAGTTTTGTTAAATTAATATCCTCGACGCTTCAATTACAGGAATTTATGGAATTTGATGTTGCCATCTTCCGGAGAATCGGAGAGCTACTCGCCTTGCTTCTACAGCCTGACTTGCTGTCGAGATATTCGTCCAGAACACAGCACTGTCAGTGATATCACCATATACCGGGTGACACAGGCTATCGGGCCACCCCTGTAACTTTTGCATTCGTCAACGGATTTTTCTGAAATTTGGTACAGTTATATAAGCAACTATTGCGGATTTGATCACGTCACAATCCAATATGTCGGACTTCCGGTTTTTCTGGAAATGCCAGCAATTTTGTTTTTTCAAATGGAACACCCTGTATATTTTTACATATTCAAGTTCAACAGGTCATAACAAGTGCAATCTTGATGTCAAATGTCATTCATTCCACAGCCCACCTAGTTGAAAAATGATTCTAACTGCAAGGAAATTCATGACTAGTTGTTGATTTTTGAATGTATACAATTTGTTACTGCACCGAAAAACAAAAATGGTATTTCATTTTGTTCCTTAATGTACCTATGTTCTAGAGAAACGGGTAGGTGGCCCATAGGGGTTCCATTTGAAAAAAAATATTTTTTGATCAAAAAGTGATGTGGCTGTATTGATTCCTGGATAAGTGACACAAAAAATAATTTTTCAGAAAAAATTATGTTCTTCTGTTATGTGTTACTCATTATGAATAGTCTTGACCACATCTCATTCATCCACGAGGTAAAATGAAAAAACAATTTTAATTAAAATTTTTTCGAAAAAATGACATTTGAAATAAAGATTGCACTTGTTTCGACCTGTTGAACTTGAATATGTGAAAATATACAGGGTGTTTCATTTGAAAAAACAAAGTTGCTCGCATTTCCAGAAATACCGGAAGTCCGCCATATTGGAATGTAATGTGATCAAATCCGAAATAATTGCTTATATAACTGTACCGAATTTCAGAAAAATCTGATGACGAAAGCAGAAGTTACAGGGGTGGCCCGATACCCTGTGTCACCCGGTATTCCACCCACCTCGGCTTCTCGATTCTCCAATGAACGGTCTCCCGATATCTCCTCCCGGATTAAATTTTTCATAGCCCACTTTGTTCCATAATTCCATTTCGCGTTTATCGCCACGGCCGTGCGATAGCTTTTTGTTTTTATTTCGAGGGACTGCGGGCGGTCTACTAGCTTCCACATTTCGAAAAAAAAAAAGGTCTTTTAGTGCCGCCGCCGCTTTCGTCATCTGTTACAGCCAAGGATATATTTTATGGTGTCGATCGTGGTGCGGATTTTGTGAATGACCTCTTCCTGCAAATTAAAACGAATGATAATTATCCGTGATGGAAATTATGTTAATGAGAGAGAGAGAGAGAATAATCTTTATTGTCTAAAATGTATTACATTTCGTCGACAAAGGTATAACATATATATAAAAAACAAACTATTGTAGAAGAAACAAGACTAAAAAAATATTTACACAAAGGGTATAATACGGTACGGTACACACGTGCTTTCACAACTACAGTTTATTAAAATCTTGATGTAGATAGTAACATTTATATAGAAAGACTAGAAATTATATGCAAAATACTCTTCCAAACTATAAAAGCACTTTCCCATCACAAGGTTTTTTACAGATTTCCTAAATTGCTTCTGATCATTGATTGCTGTTATTTGTTTCGGTAAATGATTATATATCTGTCTACTTCTATAGATTTGAGAATGCTTGGTCAAAGTTGATGTGGGGAGTGGAAGGACAAGTATCATCTCCTTTCGTGTATGCCTTTCTGCTCGATTCAAAAACTTTTCTTTATGTTTGTGGAGCAAGCAAACAGTCTCTATAATAAAAATTTCGAATATTGTTGGTATTTTATATTTGCAGAAAACTGGCCTACACGAGTCGCGAATCCTCTTTTTGAATATTATTCTCATAGCTCTTTTTTGAATGACGAATATACTCTGCAATAAAACCTGGCAGGCAGAGCCCCAAAATGGAATTCCATACCTAAGATGACTCTCCATGAGTGAATAGTATGCGGTCATTGAAGCTGAAAATCCGAGTTCACGAGATATGACATTCACGGCAAAGCAACCAGAAGACAATTTATTTGTCAGTGCATTAGATTGTGTGTCAAACTTTGAATTACTATCAATAAATATACCGAGGAATTTCGTTACAAGCTTACTTTCAACCGTCTGACAACCTAAAGTTACCTGATCCAAATCCCACTTAAATGTGACCAGATTTGTTTTAGAAAAATTCAGCGACAACATATTCGATTTGAGGTTGAAGACACTAGTCGAATTTACGCCACAAGCCTATTTCATATCGATCATCCCGTGTATAAATACACTCAGTTCCAAAAAAATTGATATTTGACCTATCTTCTTAAAAAAAATAGTAAGCCGATTTTTATTTTTTTTATTTTTTGATGGTAGGTAATGCATTTGTTTAAAAAAAAATGAAGAGAGCCTCCTTGATGGTGGTGGAATAACTCGAACCATGATTTATTCTTAATTTTTGACTCACCCTGTGTGTTAATTGATTGATGGCATAAAAAGTGCTTGCACCCTATACAAAAGAGGCTTTTTTGCGAGCATTTTGTTTTTTTATTCATTGATTTATCTCTAAAAATTTTCCGAATTACAGCTTTTTTGCTGATACCTTACGCTTATCCCGCAAATTGAATTTATTGAGTGATCAGAGTACTCAAAATTGATTGGGTTGTACTCTGGTAGGATCACATTGTCTTTAAAAAAACAAATGCCGTTGCCATAGCAACTAATTTGTTGTATGCCTCCATATTTGACCATTTGTCGTTGTGTCATTAATTAAGTGTCTTGTTTTATTGACTAAAATTACATAAAATGCCTCAAATAAATCCTAAACAAGTAGCAAGATTAGTTGCGTTAGTAAACGATGGGCGTAGTAAACGTTACGCTGCTCGTGCAGTGGGAGTTCATGAAGCAACTGCTCGTAGAGCAATCCGCAAGTACGAACAAACAGGAAGCACCGCTCGGAGGGTCGGTTCTGGTCGCCCCCGAAAAACTTCTCCAAGAGATGATCGCTTCTTGAGGTTGCGGATTTCACGGAATCGATCAAATACTGCGGTAAATGTTCAGCAAGATCTTCGCCAAATTCGTGATGTTGCAGTAAGTAAGCAGACGATATGTAGACGTCTAAAAGAAGTTAATTCAAAAGCTAGGAGACCTGCAAAAGGTCCCAAATTATTGCCCGAACATCGTGCTGCTAGAAGAAATTTTGTTGAAAATTATGGACAGTGGAATATTCCTGAATGGTCAAATATCTTGTTTACGGATGAGTCAAGGTTTTGCCTTAACATGGTGAATGGAAGAAAAAGAGTGTGGAGAAGAACTGGTGAACGGTTCAGTCAAAATTTAATAACAGAATGCGAAAGATTTGATGGTGGGTCCGTTATGGTGTGGGGAGGGATTTCAATGAATGGAAAGACACCCCTTCATGTTTTTCAGGTGAGGCAGTCGATGAATGCCCAAATTTACATTGACATTTTGGAGCAGTATGTCTTACCTTATGCAGAGTAAGTGGGCAATAATTTTATATCGATGCAGGATAATGCTCGACCACACACCGCAGCAATAGTGCGAAACTTCTCAGAATCTACTGATATTACCACTTCACAATGGCCTGCGAGAAGCCCCGATATGAATCCTATAGAACATTTGTGGGATGAATTAGGGAGAAGGGTACGTTCTCGCGAGAGGTCTCCGGAAAGTCTCGCAGAAATGGCAGATGCATTAGTGGAAGAATGGGATCGTATACCAATGGAAACGATAAGCAACTTAATTTCCAGTATGCCTCGTAGATTAGAAGTTCTTAGAGTTGCTAGAGGAGGCAATACACGGTATTAAGCAGTCATCCCAATCTATAATTTTGTGTTTAATAAAAATGTTTTTTCAAATTATTGGTAGGTATCAGTTTATTTCATTAGAAAATTGTTTCTCGATAAATTCAGAAAGTTGGTGATCTGCAAGGATTCAGCAAAAAAAGCTGTAATTCGGACAATTTTAGAGATAAATCAATGAATAAAAAACAAAATGCTCGTTAAAGAAGCCTCTTCCGTATAGGGTGTAAACACTTTCTATGCCATTACTCAATTGTTTTTTTTTTCAAGAAGATACGTCAAATATCAAGTGCATCACTTTTTTTTGAACTGTGTTTCCTACCACCTAATCACAGAGTACATCGAAGCGGCGTGGCTCCAAACAACTCATTCTCCAAAAAGACTGTTAACAGACCTCACGCGATGGTATAGTGTTTCATGCTCCGATAGAAACCTCCAAATCAATTTCCTACTCGTTTAGACAGACTCCCCGATATCAACAAGAGAGCCGCCAAAGTTTTCCGAAAACAATATATCGACGGCTCGCTTTATTGTAAAACTTCGGAAAAAGTTGCGGACCAGGTGTTGCGGGTCAGTCTGCAACCACGAAGTTTGGCTATAGTTGGCCATGCACTTAAATCCTCGTGAAGAGCTTTTGTTTCGCCACTTTTCGTGCACGAGATACTTCCGCAGTTTCCTTGCGGATTAGCCATGGAGTAAACTCTCGAAACATGGGATTTATTTTGTCGGCACGTATTGCAGCTTTCTTAGTTCTCGAAGTTGATGGAAGTATGGAGGCGTCATTATTTTCTATATAGATACGTGAAGTGCAAACTTTTTTCGACAATGTCTATCGTATATTCCACATGGACCTACGGTCCTTCTAAAAGGTCGCATGAAATTTTCCATTTTTTATTATTTATTATTTATTCATTTTTGAAATAACATACAGGGTGTAAATTTGAAAACTTTCAATGCGAATATCGCGGTTATACGTATATTACTAAACAACCACTAAATTTGAAATTTTTCGAAATCAAATCACAGAATTAGACTGACAGAAGTGACATCAGATATTTAATTACTTCAAAAGAATGATAAAGATGCCTACAACGCAGGTGTCCCTACTGTTAAAAACTTAAAATTTCACGTCGATAATTTTCAGATTTCAAAATAATGAAATATCTTCTCAATATTGATTCGTCCTTTCTTCTGTCACAGGAAAAAATACTGTACATACTGAAAAATATTAGATTTTAGCTCACGGTTTTTTGTCTCCCTCCGCTACGCGTCGGGAGACAACACAACCTGGAGCTAAAATCTACTACTTTTTTCCCTTGTATAATAAATAACTATTGACATGACCTCCAATTTTGACTAATCAAAGCGAAGGTCAATGCTTCCCTATTGTTGCCCATTCAGTATTTATAAGGGTGGACGATAACGATTAATAATCCACCGAAACTCCAAAAATTTTCGAAAATTGTAATCCCTATTGATATTATTAATAAATCAACATTAATCATATTATATGCCAATTTTCAGAAGATTCAATCTGTTTTTCTAGTCATTATTCAATATAATTTTTGTTTACCTAAGAAAAAGTCTTATTTTCTTAGTGAATCACCTTGTATAGATTGAGTGATGAAATAGTATATTATTCAACAAGCATATAATGAGGGCTATTATTCACGAAGGTTAAGTTTATGTCACGAGCGTAGCGAGTGGCATAATTAACCTTAGTGAATAATAGCTCATTATATGCGAGTAGAATACTATACTTTGTCCACGACTACTATATTGTCCTTGATATATGAATTCATTTTCAACAACTGTTTTATCATAACTTATTTGACATTAGGAAAACTGAAAATTGAAGCTTATGTTATATTAATTCTTTATAAGACTATTATAGGCCTATTTATTCAAATTGCACCCATTATTCCCATTATCATTGTGACCTGATAAGGATGAATTTTATTTCATGAATACTAGTTAAGCAAGTTTTTTTCATGTCTTACCTTCATTGCAAGATATTTTTCACCACATGCCTGATTCAAAAATTTCTAGAATGTATCTGCTTTTTTCGGATGAAAGCCTTCAGACTTCCTTTTTAGAAGTGAATGCAGTTTTACATAGTTTTTTATATTGATTCCTTGATTTATATTAAGCATACTCCTGAGCATCGAGTGATGTGTCCATAATGTGGATGGCTTATATTTTGCAGCTAATTCCGTGAAATATACCAATATGACTCTGAGAATGAATGAATTTTCTTAGACGCCCTCCAGTTCATGCAGGTGTTGTATACACAGATGCATACAGATTCCGGGAGTTCTCCAGCAACGAATTCATTGACGTGACTTTTGCAGCTTCTATTATCTCTGGTGGAGTACACAATATCTCTTCGTCACTATATCAATATCCATTTATTAGGAATTATAACTGAAACATCGCGTGTCGTCGAAATTTGACGTTTCAACAATGACAACTATTTATGATTATCTTGTCATGTCATACATGTCAATGGCTTCCGTATTCGATATCATCTTGATACAGTCTATTTGATACTAACATCTTATTCCAAGTATACATACATTATAAAGAGAGGAATAATGTAATACTGAGGAGGTATATCAAGATTTCTATATATTTGAATATGATTCGTATGAAGTTAGCTAATAAAAGTACCTAGCTATAGCCTGAACGTGTACTGATAAGTGCTTGCTTAATACAAAACATTTATCGTGTACCCTACGAACTCTAGACCAGTGAATAATGATTATTCACCGCTATTATTCACTGGTGTGGAAAATGGCTATCGTTTTGCTTGAGGTAGTACATGTATTATGAATATTTTATACAACAGTCGTGGACAAAAAATATTATTCAATTATCGAGAATGTGATACTGACCTGCATCAAATTGAAACACATAGCGATCAATGCCATGCCCAGCATGAGATAAATGGAACAAAAAACGAAACTGACTTCCAAGACATCCTTGTAGAAATCAGTGCCTCGTCCATATATCTTATCACCTGGAACCAAATCGCCGAATCCTATGGTACTGAGGGATATGAAACAGAAATAAGACGCATCCAAGAAAGACCAGTGTTCCTCCCACTTGCAGAAGAGAAGTGCTCCACCACAGATGTATCTGAAAAAATGTTACGTTATCGTAGAGATTCTATACAGGGTGTTATTTAAGTTCGTGGCCAAACTTGAAGGAGTGATTCTTTGAGTGATTCTAAGACGAAAAGTTCATATTAACATAGGTCCGGTAATGCTTCGTTTTCAAGATACAGGGTGTCAAAATTTTTAAAAGAAATCGTTTTTCTCGTAAATATCTTGATAACCCTTCAACCGATTTTATTGAAATTTGACAGTGGTATTCAAGGTCGTAAAGGGCTAATTCAACCACTGACTATATCAAAATTATCATGTCCAGTGGCGTCCCGGAAGGCACTGTAACCAATATTTTTGACAGAAAACATGTGCGCCACTGATTTTTTTGCAATTTTTGTATTTGTTTCACATTGAGCAACTAAAATTACAACTTCTTCATATTCGGAAGTTTTTTCGTATCTTGCTTTGTTTTTGAGAAAAACACAATAAAAAATTGTTCTTATAGAGTTTTTAAAAATTAAAAGATGACTTCCATGTGATAGTAATTGTTTAATCATAAATAAAAATGTCTTTATTGCATGTCCATGGACAACAATGAGCCTATTCTGCAGCACGAGCCGAAGGCAAGTGCTGCAATTCATACATACATATTTTTTGTTTTTCCATTGCATTAATTTTGATAGAAAATTCTAAGACTAGAATAGAGTATTAATATAAAAAAATATTAGTAAGACCCCAGTTTTTGATGGTTTAGTAGTTGAAATGTTTTATTGTGTTGTCACAGGGATGTGCAATGAAGTGATTTTTATGTTTTTTTCTCAAAAACAAAGCAAGATACGAAAAAAATTCAGGATATAAAAAAATTGTAATTTTAGTTGCTCAATGTGAAAACAATACAAAAATTGCAAAAAAATCAGTGGCGCACATTTTTTCTGTCAAAAATATTGGTTACAGTGCCTTCCGGGACGCCGCTGGACATGATAATTCTGATATAGTTAGGGTTAAATTAGCCCTTTAGGACCTTGAATAACACTGCCAAATTTCAATAAAATCGGTTAAAGGGTTATTAAGATATTTACGAAAAAAACGATTTCTTTCAAAAATTTTGACACCCTGTATCTTGAAAACGAAGCATTACCGGGCCTATGTTTACATGAACTTTTCGTCTTAGAATCACTCAAAGAATCACCCCTTCAAGTTTGGCCACGTACTTAAATAACACCCTGTATATATAGTCGAAAAACTGAGCTGGTATTGATCGCTGATTGTGATGAACGGGTATCCTAGACAAAATTATCATGTGAAGCACTGAATTTTTTTGAACTCAGTAATTGTCTTAAACAGAAATAACTTCCATCATGCGTGTGCTCCCACATATGGAAACAGTATTCCAGGACAGGTCAGATATGTGCCTTATAGATCATAAGCAGCTGACTGGAAGTTGAAATTGGGAAACTTCGGAAGATGGAGACGTAGTAGCCTACCGGAGTGCACCCATTGGCAATAAAAGTGGAAAGCTGACTTTGAGTGTCAATATCTCGAAAACTATCTGGCCTATCGGGCTGATCATGGTCTCATTCGATTCAGCGTGTCATTTTCTACTGGAAAAGCGATAATTCACGTGAATTTCCGCCGTTTTCTGGCACTTTCTGCCGGCCGAAGATAGCTCGGTGACTATATCGTACTGAAGTGTCAGGTAGGAAAATGAAAATTTCTATTTGGCCTATTACAAATCTGAAAAAATCCACATAGACTGAGTCGATGTCGAAATGAACGAATCTGTGGTGAAAATCAGGAAATTTTGGGAAATGGAGACGTAGTAGCCTACCGAAGTGCAAATATTGGCAATAAAAGCGGAAAGCTGACTTTGAGCGCCGATATCTCGAAAACTATCTGTCCTATCGGGCTGATCGTAGTCTCATTCGATTCAACGTGTCATTTTCTACTGGAAAAGCGATAATTCGCGTGAATTTCCGCCGTTTTCTGGCACTTTCGGCCGTCCGAAGATAGCTCGGTGACTATATCGTACTGAAGTCCCAGGTAGGAAAATTAAAATTTCTATTTGGCCAATCACAAATCTGAAAAAATCCACATAGACTGAGTCGATGTCGAAATGAACGAATCTGTGGTGAAAATCAGGAAATTTTGGGAAATGGAGACGTAGTAGCCTACCGAAGTGCAAATATTGGCAATAAAAGCGGAAAGCTGACTTTGAGCGCCGATATCTCGAAAACTATCTCTCCTATCGGGCTGATCGTAGTCTCATTCGATTCAGCGTGTCATTTTCTACTGGAAAAGCGATAATTCGCGTGAATTTCTGCCGTTTTCTGGCACTTTCGGCCGTCCGAAGATAGCTCGGTGACTATATCGTACTGAAGTCTCAGGTAGGAAAATGAAAATTTCTATTTGGCCTATTACAAATCTGAAGAAATCCACATAGACTGAGTCGATGTCGAAATGAACGAATCTGTGGTGAAAATCAGGAAATTTTGGGAAATGGAGACGTAGTAGCCTACCGAAGTGCAAATATTGGCAATAAAAGCGGAAAGCTGACTTTGAGCGCCGATATCTCAAAAACTATCTGTCCTATCGGGCAGCGTGTCATTTTCTACTGGAAAAGCGACAATTCGCGTGGATGCCTGCCGTTTTCTGTTTTTTTATAAAAATATTAAACTATGTTTCCAATGTAAGACATAACTGGACCAAATTTATACAGAATCAGTCGAATAGGAATGATTAATTGATTATAAATGCTTTGCCAGGTTTCTCCAAAATGGCATATTTTCTATGCTGATACATGATTGTCTCCAGGAGCCTCATTATATTATCTCTGAAATATTGTGCCCATATCATTGTTACGAATCTTGAAATCAGATCAAGATTTTTTTATCATGATTTATCTTTGATGACTTACCCCACCATTATTGCTAAGCAAATGGTCACAGGTACACTGACGTTTTCATAAGCTTCATCGCTATACGCAGTCAGTGCTTCACTCCCTAGAGAATCTCTTACTCCAGGCAGTTCAATTGGAATGTTTATCTGAAAAATAAAAATCCAGTTTCGTGTATCTAATGTAAATAATGAATTTGCTACATGTGGAATCATTGAAACATTATCATACTACTGAACTTAATGCAATTCAATGAACTGATCAAAGTAGCAGATATTATATTTCCGTTTCGTTTGATTCATCAGTTCATTTATTTATTTATTATAAAGTAGGGATACGAACAGACCAAATCCAACGAGTATCCTCTTATTAGGTAATCAAATAATGAGCTAATAATAACGTACTTATATAGTTGACATTATAACTGATACATTATTAAAATACAACACATGAACAATATATGAACGATACAATTAAAACGTTTTTCGTAGACGAAAGTGGTCAACGTGAGCAGAACAAGGATTCCTCGAGTGTCTTTAAAATTAAAAATGGAAGTCTGAAGATTGTTATTTCATTACAGAAGCCAAAGTTCTGACCATTCTGTAAATGGGAGAGTTTGAACCTGAGTTAGTTTTTCTGACAGCACAATCTTCAGACTTCCATTTTTAATAAAGGTGTGTTAAACGTTCTATGGCTTGATGGCTTCTTAAATTTCTGCAAGGTGTTCTTCAGGATATTCTGAATTTTGTATATCATTATAGAAGGTCTGACATGCACCTTTTATTTTTTTTGTCTATATGGATCTACCGGGGAAAGCCATGTTGTTGAGGTATAATCTTATTTTTCGTGATGTTTAGAATTCTTTCATGTACAATTTTCTCGAACATTTTTCCAAAGATATATAGAGTTTGCTAATGGGTCTATGATTCTTGATATTGCTCCTGCTGCCCTCTTCATGGAGATGTTTCCATTCAGATGGGAATACCCCTGTGTGAAGTGACAAATTGAAAATGTGAGGTGATGTTAGATTAACCCTACAATTGTTAATGAATGTACCCAGTACGTATCAGGACCGGGATCTTTTTGAACGTTCAAATTGTCGATGGCATCAGAAACTTGTTGCTCTGAAATATCTACAATATTGTCTTCAACACTTCCTAGACAGTCTGTACGAATTGATTATTGTTAAATAGAATGAATCTCAACAAGTGTTTGGAATCATCATTTTCCACATCTCATTCATTACTCGAATAAGCTTTGAACCGTTTATGCCGAAACTTTGTTTATAGTTAGATATAATCCTGTGGAAAACCTTGAATACTTTAAGCAGAAAAGGTCATCATTAGTGAGATTTAATCGAGTTGGTAGTTCATTCCGCTACCAAATAAAAAGGACCAACGAAGGGTACACTGAAAGTGCCGAAAGGGTATGACTGGATTTCTAGATAAGTACAACAGAAAAACTCTGGTAGAGGTTGTGACGATTTTATTCCTGTTTTGTGCCATTAGGAAAAAATAGTTGAACGAGACTGTGTCTGTTTTATTAAAATGCAACAGTCAGGGGCAGGCGAAACAGGGGGTCACTTGTTGGAAAATTCGAAAACGAACGAGTACCTATACTTTACACGAAAAACGCATTTGAAGCTCCGGTTTTGAGAATTGGATTGATCTCAAAAAATAAATGTTCTTCATACCTCAAAATTGAAAGATATCAAACGTGAACTAACCTAATCCAAATCATAGTTTCGATGGAAATTATGAAGCAGGACCAAAATTATTACGAGAAAGAATGATAGGCACTAGAAATAAAAGGTCGTTACTGATCGGCAGGATGGTAAACAGTTAGAGGTCAGAAACTCGAAGAACCTTCATGAAGTATAACATTTTATGATAAAGCAATATTCTCATGTAAATGAACTCATGAGAGGAAGCTAGATACTGCTCTGAAATTAATCACGACAAATTCATACAAGAAGAGGTTTATTAATAGGTACTTTACCTTTGAATCATTGGTGACACTAGGAAAACTGACCAGTAGGAGACAAAAACATGTGTTCAAAAAGAGTGTGCAGGGAATTTATAAACCATTATATTCGAGGTTCAACTCTGAAGTAAATGCCAGATTATTACTGAAAAAAAATGATTTTGAATCTTTTCTGAACAGAATCCAACAGTTTGAGGGTATGTTTGGATGCTGCACTCCAAAATTGGAACAGTATTCCAGGACAGATCATAAGCAGCTGACTGAAAGTGAAATAGCTCCTAGCCCGAAACAAGAAACCAAGTTTTTGGAATGCACTTTCAGCAAATGATGTGATTTGCCCAAGAAAGGATATTGCTGATAGTAATACCGAGCATCGAAATGGATGTCTTCAATGGTATGGTTTTTCCTGACAAGCTTATTTTGGGCACAGTGAGATCGGTTTTTCTAGAGAAAAGGCATGCTTGTGTTTTGTATGCATTGAAATCTACCAAGTTATTAGATCCCCATTCGAGTATTGTTGCCAATTCTATATTTATGTTGACAACATTTCTCCCTCGTTGGTTTCTGATTTGCCTGACAGGAATTGGAGCCCTGGAAAAGCAGGCGGTATGGAGAGTACTATCATCCGCGAAGCTGTGTACTGGACATGAAGTTGCTTTCAACAAATCGTTGATATGGAGTAGAAATATTGTTGGTTCTAAAATTGATCCTTGCGGAACACCAGCATTTATGATAAGAGAGTCAGATGAAACTCCGTCGACCACTACATGGAGAGACCTGTTTGAGAGAAAACTAGCTAGCAGAGAACATAGCTGGGGAGGCAAGCCATAAAATGGAAGCTTGGTGAGGAGTCCGTGGTGCCAGACTCGATCGAATGCCTTGGAGATATCAAGTGCCACGGCTAAGGTTCCGCTATATTTTTCAATGTCCATAATTATCTTTCAGGTACTTCCAAATACATAATTTTTGTGTCTGATGATAACCTGTGGCCGAAACTAGTTACACTACTTATATTAAACATTTATTTCGTGGTCGACAGATTTTGGGACTTTTATTGCTTCTCCTTTTGTAAATCAATTGGACCACTTTGAGAAATATGGATGGTTCATGTGGTACATAAGGGAATTTTTGTTTCTGAAAATCGGGCGATGGGTTCTAAAGTACGAGGGTGTTGCGGATTGAAATCGAACACACTGTATATACCCATCTTAGGTATTAACAGAGTTTCTAGAGCTTAGACTGGTGTCCAATAGCGCGAAGAGTATTATTTCGCCTAGTTGGCGAACCAGTCAAGCCAGGAATGGGATTAGATCCATTTTCAATTTGTAATTACATCATACAAAAGAGAGATACGTTGTGACGGCATCGTGTTCGCTGATAATCCTATCTTTTGTCATCACGTCTTACAAAAATCAATGATCAGTCGGAGACTGCTCCAGAGTTGATGAATTTTATAAAACGGGAATGAGTGGAATCATCAAAACATGTCGTTTTACATGGTGTCCAAAGGACGATCTTATATCAATTCATACAGGGCTGAAACAAGCTCCAATCTCTCATTTTCCCCACATGACATTGGAATTGGCTTTTTGAAGATACCCAACAGGCAACAATGGTGTATTTTCTATGCCTAGGCAGAAATAGTTTTAACCTAACAAGTGCGGAAAGTAGTTCTTTTCCGCAAGAGTTAGGTACAAAGTTTTTCCTACGAGTGTTTTTTCCATATTATTTATGAAAAAAAAAGGTTCTTGATAAACAATATTTTGAAATCGTCCAGAAAAGTATTCGATTTTCCAAAATTGTATGATTGATAGGAAGTAAATGAACCCAGTTCACATACATACCAAGGATGAACAATTTCCAAACAATGTCTTTGTTTATTCACCAACATCTCTGGAGCCACTTCACCAAACTAATTCACTCTTATGCTGGAATGATCAAAACAATCGACCAGCAACTGCTAGAGGAATTACCTTCTAGATGATTCTAGATGATCATACTGACTATGAAAAGGTTTGGGTTAGGGCCACAACCTCATAATATTTCTGAATGATTGTAAACTCATAACTTCCACAAAACAAAATGGCTGTTTCACTTGGTTGTATTGGGAATTTAATCTCTTTCAAAGCGATGTATCAAAAGTATAGACGATATTAAAAGTGGAAGTGCTGTATTTGAGGAGTTTGATAACACAACAAGAAAAATCAAAGAGTCTGGCTGGGCAATTTCCAATTTTCTCTAGGTTTGAATACAGTATGTGTAGCATATATCAACTTGGATCAGATATGCTCACCCAAATAACACTGGATTTCAGCTTTAATTCTGGTCTGGACCTTCTTCGGATATTTTTGACATACTTGGGTCGTCCAGTAATGAAAGTCCTAGGAGTCTAGTGAATGGACTTTTAGATTCGTCTTACATACAACAGAGTACATACAGTGTGTCCACCTTAAGGACTTACCACCCCTGTAAAATTGTTATTATCTGACCGATTTCAAGAAACTTTTTTTTGTTGGATAGGTATTTGAAATGTCCATCCAACAAGAGAGTGATTCTACTCATGAACTGTAATCGTGGCCAACTGCGACCAACTTTATTGACTCATATTTGAGAAAGTACTATTAGGGATTTTTTTTTCACAAAAAATAATGATGGATTCTGAATCACGATCACTTGAAAAACACTTTTACTGATTTTTATAATCATAAAACACAGGGTGTCCGAAAAAACGAATTATGTTTTTTTTTAATAGGTGATCAGAAAATGTAGTATTGTGGTATTTTTGAGAAGAATTGATGACACATTATTATTAACACGTTGACTGCCATGTCGGTCTATTAGACCGAGAAAAAAATATCCTGACGTGCCGCCTCGGTCTCATAGACCAAGATTGGAGTTGATACATCAGGCCGGCTCGGCCTATAGGACCGAGTCAATTGAACCGCCCGTGAAGCCGTCGGTCTGAATTATTGTTAATAATATCGCGGAGAGAGACCAAGACGGCTTCAGTGACAAGTTTATATTGTATATCGTCCTCATCAGACACAGCACTAGACCGAGGCCGAACCCGGACGGACCGAGCTGGTGGACCGACGCGGCGTACACGGGTATACATGTATAAACGAGCGCCGACTCGGTCTATAAGACCGAGCCAAATTTCTTCAAT